TATTGAGAAGGCGATTTCAATGAATCTAGGGGCGGCAAGACTTATCGATAAATGAACGAGTGACACGTCTTATGGTTTACTTTTGTAGTCCATGTCTGCCTAGCGCATTACACTGGCTTCTAATTCCTATATCCTATATCCCTACTCACTAAATCTTGACGTCAGTTTTTATTTGCGGTAAATTTCTAGCTGTTTGAAAATTACCGTGGCAATATTGATGATTTTAGCACCTTAAAATCGACCGAAAAAAATTGGAATGGAAAGGTAATTGAGTAATATAAAAAAAGTCCATCTAGCTGGACGCGATTAGGGTCCCTTGATGTAAATTGACGTATTTGTCATCTTAACAGGGTACGGACAGATCCTCGTCTCCTCTCACTCTAAAGTGTTCGTGAAACAGTTATATAGTTCCATCTTTATTCATTTCTGGGGATAAACACTAGTTTTCTGACATTTGTTGTTTTTTAGGTTATATTGAGGACATTGGCGTATCATACGTTAATTTCCACATGTAATTTCACATTCAACTCTACATATTATATCCAAATGATGATGATAATTTTCGAGTTTTTGATTTTTCAACTCCACCATAATCTTTGTGAGGCAGTGAGAGCAAATTATTCTGAAAGTTTAATACGTTTTACCAAATGGGACTGTTCTTAAGCAGCACCTATCAATAAATTAATTTTGATTTCAGACTAAGCCTTATGGTTTGGAAATGGTGAAAATTTTTTGCTCATATGTCATGTGTGCTGAATATATTCATGTTGGAAATCATTTTTGCAGTTTTTCACGAACACTTAATATTTCCTCAATGTAGGTATAATTTTTTAAATGATAGGGCATAATAATATGCCTCTTCTTTTAATCCTCCGTTTTAATCAAAACTGTTTCTACTAAAATGCATTCAAAAACTTGTGGAGTGGATAATTATAGGCACAATGAGTATAATAGTATAATATGTGATTTCGTATTAGTTTCACCTCGAATATTTTGCTGATGTATTCAGCAATTTTCCCCATTCGGTCACTTCACTTTCCATGTTCTAAGTTCATCTGCATTTGATGGTAATCTGACAAATTTAAATTTGCCATCCAACTGATTGATACAGCTTAACGCAGCACATTTTACCATCCTTCCAAAACAGAATTGAATAATGTCGTATTAAGATCAAGTATGAAATTAAAATTTTGTAAGATCTCTTTTAACGCCCATGAATGTGACGTGACAGCAATGTCATGCCAGGGACGCCAATACACGAAACCGAAGTCACTAGATGTTTAAAAGAAAAAGGAGCTATGATCTCCGTCCGTACCCTGTTGGATGACAAATACGTCAGTTTGCATCAAGGGACCCTAGACGCGACTGGCAAGAACGAGTGAACGTCTTTCATAGTCTATAGTTGCGTTTTATTTATCCGATTCGGCCACTGGAATCACTTTATTGTGTCGTTTTATTTACAACTTTTCCGATTCTGGTTGCTACTTTTCATTCCGTCTCGCTATAAAGAATGACGTGGAATGACTGTTGACGTTGTTAAAAATTAAATCAGATAGATCAAAAACGAAACTCTTTGAAAGTAGAATACATTAGAAGACATGTTTATCGCGAGGTTCGCAAGTTCATGATTCTTTCAAGTAAGACAGGCTTCATATCTCAATTACCAGATGAATTCTCTATCCCTCAGGTCTCGACCTCAGAGAATTTTATTTCCCCTATCACCACAATCACTGCCCCAAATATACATTAACTAATTTTTTTGATTTTTCACTCTAGTATTATGAATTTGATATTATTTGGAACCCCAATATACAGGGTGTTTCTTAAGTACGTGTAGAAAATCCAGGAGCATGTTGCTGACGTCAAAATAAGAAGAAAAGTTTGTATAAATATATGTCCAAAAGTTATTCGTTTCTGAGATACAGAGTGTCAAAGTTGAGTTCTTATTTTTGTTTTTTGTTAATAAATTTCAAAATAATTGTGATATCGGAATAAAATTCTTTCGTGGGGGTGGCGCCAACTACATGTCTTCTGAGTCTTTTGAAAAGGTATAACTTTTTTGTGCGTACCTGTATAACGTTTCATAGTAAAAAAATACATTTCTAGAACACACAATGTAAAAAATATATTCTTGGTAGAGGTCGCTGTGAGCAACTGTTTTCGAGTTATTGGGAGTCGAAATAATATATGCATTCGAATTTCGAATTATTGAAACTAGGACCGAATCTCCCATGCAAAAACGACCAAGGAAAAAATGTCATCTCATGGAAAATAGTGCTTCTGGAACAAAAATCCTCGGTAAATATGATCTGGAAATAATCTCCTAGTTAAAATGGTGAAAGAAAGTAGGAAATCCCACATAACAATATTTTTCATATCGAGTCCATCTCTGTTCGATTTGTAAGGAAAGGTTTTTGTGTTGTGTACCGACCACATCGATGTGAAGTAAAGAGTTGAATTTTTTGTTATACCTTCGATCCGCAAATACGTTCGTGTTCAACATCCAGTTATTTCAAAGATAGTCAATTATATTATTATAATCTTGTGTGATCAGCAATCTCGCACCATGCATTTGAAAATAATTCCATCCAACAAAGGAAAACAAATGCTTGTAGAAAATGGTTTCATGTACAACATGCACTACAAATCTGATGATAAAGTTATTTGGAGATGCATCAATTATAAAACTAGTTGCAGGGGAATTTGTCATACAACGACAGCGACACGAAGAGGTGAGTACCCATTAAGATGAGCATTGTTTCAAACAGTTCGAACTTACATTTCCATATATTATAGTCATTCATATATGTGAAAATATATGCATCTATCGATCATATTTTGGAGCACCATTATTAAAACATGTCATTTTTACAGGGGAAATTACGAAATCAGCTGAACATAACCATGCACCAGACAGGGCACAAATCGAAGCAAAAACAGCTCGAGAAAAAATTTAAAAAAAAGCCCATGGAGCCAAGAACCTTCCTCCTCAGTAGTAGCTTCAATTTTGGAAACAACATCAACTCCTGCTCTTGCCCACCTCCCGAGCATACAGAACATGAGTCGAACCGTACGATCTATACGCTCGAGAAAAAATGAACTTCCTCCCATTCCGACGTCATCGCAGTTTGAGATACCAGAAATATATAAATTGACTCATAAAAACTTTCTCTTCTTTCTCATTCATGACACTGATGATCGTATTAGAATACTATAAAAACGAGAGCTTTCTCATTCATGACACTGATGATCGTATTAGAATACTGAATTTGGAACGGAGAGGAATCTCTCAATACTGGAATCTTCAGATACTTGGTATGCAGATGAGACATTTTCCACTGTCCCTAACGGTTTTAGTCAATTATACACTATTCACGCAGACATAAATGGAAGAAAACGTCCACTGATTTTCGCATTAACAGTTAATCGTACCAAAAAAACATATAAACAAATTCTCCAAATATTGGGAGATATAAACCCGAATTTATCTCCTGAAAGATTTGTATGTGATTTTGAAGCTGCCTTCATATCAGCTGTAGGGACTATATTTCCGAATGCAGAAATAACAGGTTGTTTTTATCACTTCTCCCAATGTATTTATCGGCATGTTCAATCTTTTGGCCTTCAGAACCAATACGCCGAAGACAGCAATTTTGCTCTTCATGTACGTATCATGTGTGCTCTAGCTTTCGTTCCTGTGGACGCTGTTGGTGATTCGTTTAAAAATCTGAAATCGTTAAAGTTTTACACTGATCACGAAGATATGTTCTCACCGCTCCTCACATATTTTGAAGAAACATGGATTGGAACGAAAAGTCGTCACAACCGGCGTCGCGGACCAAAATTCGAACCAGAACTATGGAATCAGTACACAAATACTCTGAACAGCAAACCTCGCACAAATAATCCTGTTGAGGGATGGCACAATTGTTTACGGGTTAGAGCACAGGGATCACATCTGGTTTTGTGGAAATTCATCGAAATTTTGAAATCTGAACAGACAGTGACAGAAACTTATATGGAACAAAATATTGCTGGTGCTTCTCCTGCATCACGAAGGAAATACAAAGATTTTGATGCTAAACTGAAAAGAGTAACAGATAGTTATCATGAAACTGATACAATCACTTTCTTGAGAGGGATAGCCCATAATTTGAAATTATAGGTCAGTAGTTGGAACTGAATTTTCAAAATAAATAAAATTGAAACATTTGTATTTGCTGATTTCTTATTGAGTATATGAAAAATTCGATTACTCTTTGTGTATTTTAATGATATATTCACCTTCCTAAAGTTTCTGTTTAGATAATCAAATCCTCAAGAAATATCTTGGAGGAAGATTTATTTTCATCGAATGTAAACCTAACCTAACCTGCTTCCGACTATCCATTCTCGAGGAACATTTTTCTAGAGATAATTTTGTATGGGGGATTTCTCCTGAGAGAAATTTTTCCACAGAAGATATTTTCCAGAGACTGTATTTCCAGAGGGTTTTTTCCTAAGGGGTATTTTCAAAGAAGATTTGGGTCGGATACCAAATTATTATTTCCATGTGGCTCGTAAGTCGCTTCTAGTGGATATCAAAAGATACGCCAGTGCATTTTTCTTCTTTCATACAGTATTCTTCTTCATTCAACATTGGAATGTAGGCAAAATATGATTCGTACTCATTTGTACCTGCTTTTTTGAACTCTTCCAATAGAATTCAACTTTGACACTCTGTATCTCAGAAAGGGATAACTTTCGGACATAAGTTTATACGAACTTTTCTTCCTATTAGACGTCAGCAACATGCTCCTGAATTTTCTACACGTACTTAAGAAACACCCTGTATAAATGTAACCTCTATCATCTATAATATGTCGATTCTTTCTGAAGTTTTCTCGTTTTATTTGTAAACATCATTCTCTTTCCTACCACCGATACCAGAATGGAACAAATAAAACGCAACTTATGACTGTCTAGCGCATTACACAGACTCCTAATTCCTATATCCGCAGGTATTTGTGCCCCGACGATAATCCTCTGGATCCTGTTCGTCTACTTGGAGGCGGCAGTGCGCCTGCGCGACGTCAAGCACATGCCCGGCCACCTCGACCTGTGCCGGCCGTTCGCCGCCCACTGCATCGGCTACCCGGTGGTCACGCTCGGCTTCGGCTTCAAGTCGTACGTCGGGTACAGGATGCGGCAGCGCAAGCAGCAGGTGTGTTGATATTTGTATCCGAAATTGATATTTATTTGTGTGACGATGGGATTTTGCGGGACGAACACAGAGAAACGCCCGCCGCACATTCTCGCACTCGCACTCGTTCACGTTACTGCATCAATGTGGCGATGGCAAAGTGAACACTTGCTTGATCCGCATTTGCTCACGCAGTTTCGCTGACACAGTTCACCTATTTGCGATGGAGGTGATAGATGTGAGTCCTGAATCAGATGCTGACAACGGATTTTATATAGACTATCACTGATAAGAAGTGCAAGACGAAGGAAAATTTGGAAGAGTTCATATTTGAAGAAAAGAAAATCTCACGGAGAATTTGCGTTGACTTCTGAATTTTCAGGAGAACAATTTAAGAACTATTTTCGCCTATCTAGGGATCAATTTAAAGAAGTTCATGAATTAATCGCAACTGACTTAGAAGACGAGGGTTTTGGTGGTCATGAAAGAATGGGCGTGTACACCTTAGTAGAACTTTCAACTCAAACCATGTTCATAATGATCCTTTCATACATAAATAATGATTGACGACATAATTCGATCGAAAAATGAACTGGAATGTTTTATTTTTGGACATAAATAATAGTACCTTCTGAAAACGGACCCTCTTATGACGTAGAAACCTCATCTCGCAATAGTTTAAAGAAAATACCAAACGCCCGACGGTGACTGAGGCAACTTATATATTAATTCTTTCAAATGTGATCTCGCGCTAATTCACTCTGTCAGAAATCATGTATCATTCATCTCTGTCTGGAATAGTCTTGCTTCAGTATTAGGGTTTTGACGTCACATCATCGCCTCGTTTTCAGAGGTCCGAAAAATCGGGGATTTCAATAATTTTTTATGAGACGTAGGGAGCTCACAGCAAGAAACGGTTTGCGGTGGTGAGCTAGTTTGGGTGAGTTCTATCGAATTATGAAATAAATTTTTTTTTGTGATATAAGCCCATTTGCTCTAAGGAGAAGCTTGCTGTTTTCCACTGTCTTCCACTTGTCTTCACTGCCACTCGAAAACTGTGTCTCGACCACAAGTGTCGCATCAGTCGACATGAGGGTACACGCTCATGTACGTTCATGTGTCAACACGTGAGAGCAAATGCGGTGTTGTATTGAATACAATAGGTTTGAAATTATAACACTCGCACGAGGCTCGTGCCGACTAATGCGAGTGCGACCATGTGCGGCGGGCGTTAACCAAAATGCGTTTCCAGCTACGTACGATATTTTTTCTAATTTTAATGAAAAATTTCGCACTGGCTCGGTTCTTCCCTAAAGTACGGTTCCAGCACAGAGCAGTGGAATTGGTGCGAGTACGACCTTCATCTTGTCCATATCAGAAATGTCAGATGTTTTGTCAATCAAAAAGTAAATATATTTGGTTTCGCTGATCCACATAAAATGGATTCATCCACCTCTTGTGGTTTCTCTGTGAGAACTGCCAGAAACAGTTTTATGAATGTTCATTGTCAATGATGTTTGGATGTCGACAATAGTGATTTAGCATTGAAGTGTCGTTTGCGGAGTTAGTAATTTTCATCATCACTGATTAGTGAATAAACAATTGAATATTTCTAATACCAGCACATCTGAATAGCCTCCTTTAACTAACTAGGTAGGTACCTAATTCTGAATTTTCGGTAAACGCTGTTTCGTAACAAAGTACTTCTGTTTCTCAATCATCATTTCCTTATCATCGCTAGTATCCGATTGTAATAATCTTCAATGAGACATTCATAATAATTATTCAAATTTCAAACATTTTCCCAATCGAATATTCAAAGTTATGTGTATCGCAGTGTCGTACAAGCATGGTTCTTCTTTAGCAGTGGGGAGTTCACTGCAGGCCCCTTTGGGTTCAGCCTCAAATGACTATTTACCCAGTTTTTTGTGTCTTCTTGTAATGAGTTGAGGAGGTAAAGCTGCACTTTGGAGCGTCTGGTAAAATACCATCACTATCGTCCGTGACGGTTTTCTGAAATGTGATCATGTACTATAGGTTGAGGTTACTGTGAGGAATGCAAGGCAGTGGACGTGAGCTCATTTGACTCAATCATTGACTTGGCTTTAGTTACATTTAATAAGTTTATTTTTCTGCAGATATCTTTCAATATTGGCTAATGTGTTGTTCATTTCTAATATAGCTTGGTCCAAACTGTGATTTGCACAATACACCAGTGTATCATCGGCGAGTGAGTTAATAAAGCAATTCCCTGGAATTTGCTGAGTATCATTTATATAAAGAATAAACAGAAGTGGCCCCAAGACGCTGCCTTGAGGTACTTCAATATTATAACTCAATGTATTGGAATAAATTGAGCCTATTTTCGTTTTTTGATTTCGATTTTCAAGATAATTTTCCATCCAATTATAAACAGTACCAGCAATTCCATAATACCTCACTTTCTGTAATAAAATGGCCCTATCAATTGATTCAAATGCACGGTTCAGATCGATAAAAACTGCAATAACATACTTGTTTTCATCTAATTGTTTTTTCCGAATTGATAAAGTACGGGTCCGGCAGGAAGGTACGAAAGATTTGAAAGTGACGCCATGTATGATGGATATAAACCTCATGTTCTCGGAATAGCTGTACCTACACGACACTAGGGTCCCTTGATGGAAATTGACATTAAAGTCATCTTAACAGGGTACGGACAGATCATAGCTGCATTCTTTTTTAATGGTCTAGGGACTTGAGTTCTGTCTACTGGCATCACTGACATTGCTGTCACGTCACATCCATGGGCGTTACAAAAAATCATTCAAAATTTTGATAATTGGTATGTACAGGGTATTTACTTGTTGTTGTTGAGGAAGATCATATGGCGGACGAGTTTTGTAATTATGATCCGATTCTTTTCAAAATTGGAAGGTATCTAGGGTTTTCCGGTGTTGGAGATAATGATTGTTTCGTCAAACTTGGAAAATTTAAGATGACGGATCCAATATATAGCGAAATAAATTTCTAATGATGATCTGATCCTATTTAAGATTGATGATATCTGAGGGTTTCGGAGTTGAACTTTATAATTTTTTGTCAAAATTGTGAAATTCAACTGTTCATCTATATCTTGGTATAGTTGAGTAAGAAATTCCATATGGAAATTACGTATGATACGCCAGTGACCTCAATATAACCTGAAAAACAACGAATGTCAAAAATCTAGTGTATCCCCAGAATTGAATAAGGATGGAACTATATAACTGTTTCACAAACACTTTAGAGTGAGAGGAGACGAGGATCTGTCCGTACCCTGTTAAGATGACTTTAACGTCAATGTCCATCAAGGGACCCTACACGACACTAGTTGTCATTTAAGATGACATGCAGCCGTGGTCGATTGAACATCGCGTGTTAATACTTTTATAATAGTAGTATTCATATCCCATGAAATGTCAAATTTCAAGCAATGACGGCTCTGTCTAATATGAGCAAATACTCAATAGAGCAGATGACTACAAGCCGAAGAAATCGGAAATTTCGCTGTTATCTGTTACAGCGGTAGAAAAGTAGGTAGGTATAGTGTATAACTCGCACGGAATGCTAATTTCCCACTCGAATGATTTGCAGTATTCGCCTGTGGGAAATGACTATCATTCCATACTTGTTAAACAATATAATATTCAAATTTCGGAACTCGATCGTGACGGCCAACGTTGAAATGATTGCGGAATCGTCTCTGTCTTCGAATCACAGAACGACACGGTTCAATGAAGGTGTAAGGAAACACGCAATGCTGAATCGACCATGGCTGCATGGCAACTTGAATGGCAACTTGTGTCCAGTAGATACTAGAGTCACTGGATGATATTCGTTAGATAAGAGTTCGGAGCTGATCTTCTGTCCTCTTCTATTTTCTATATTACAATGGTTTGAGTGAATAAAAGAATATGACATATATTCTGCTCTTTGTTTTTTCAATTTCCCTAGTAGCGCCTGTTTGTCAGATACGCTTTTAGAGGTTAGATTTTCTGTCAAATCAATCGTTGTCGTAGATGGCAATTGGAAATAGGGTATAAACACCTACTTCAATTTATAAAGCGATACACCTTTCGCAGAACAATAGTTATAAAAATATAAAGAATTCATGTAACAACATTTTAATTTGACAAAATAGTCACATATGGATATACTTATAACTAGAGTCACTGGATGGTATTAGTTTGATAAGAGTTCGGACACAGCTGAACTTTTGTCCTTTTCTATTTTCTATAATACAATAGTTTAAGTGAATAAAATAATAAGACATATATTCTGCTCTTTGTCTTTTCAATTTCCCTAGTAGCACCTGATTGTCAGATACGATTCTAGAGGTTATATTTTCTGTCAAATCAATCATAGCCGTAGATGGACAATGGATATAGGGTACAAACACCCACTTCAATTCATAGTGATACACTTCTAGCAGAACAACTATTATATAAATGAAAAAAATGCATGTAACAACATTTTAATATCAGAGAATATATACTTATGGATAAACTTATAGCTATAATTCCTTATTGTATGTGAAACTGTACTCCAGTGAAGTATTCCTGAGACAATTTTAAGAAATAAAGTCTATATAAGCTTGTGTCCGGAAATGCTTCATTTTGTAGATGCAGTGTGTTGAAATACAGAGAACAAATCATTTTTCGATAAAGATTTCATAGGAAAAAAGTAATTTATTTTGACGAAACCTACCACATACTTGGTTTTGTACAGTTCTCAACAACTTCACTTAGCGCCCTAGGAGCTAAGTAACATGGATCGATATAGAAAATATCTCCAAACGATAACCTCTAGCGTAATTAAGGCCCTTATAATAATTCCCTTGATACATAAATATCTATTCACTTTTCACTGTTGAATTTTGAATTCGGTCAGCACCAAAAACGCCATTCAATAATATATCACGTTGTAGTTTACTTGCTTTTCTTAGTTTCGTTTTCAAATTTTCAATTTCATAATGTAATTTTGCGATCATTTCCCCTTTT